CTGGCCTCTGGAACTGTGAGGCGATAACTTCCTGTGTGAGGCACTAGGTTCGTACTTCTTCCTTACAGCAGGCCCTGGTACACTAATACATCCCTGGGAGCAGGAGACACTTCTAGGCCTTGCAGGTCCCAGCGTCGTCCTTTTGAAATTCAAACTACCAAGGAGAACCCACTGCTGAGAGGAAGGAGGAAGAGGAGGAACACTCATTTGCTTGACATTTACTCTGCACTCACATTTTGGAACAGGTAGCATAGTGGTTAAGGCGCTGGACTCCCACATGGCAGACCCTGGTTCAAGTCTCGGACCCAGTGGCTTGAAACTCATGCCAGGTGCACGTGTATGCATGCCCAAAATCTTGAGAGGAGAATAGAGGAGAAGGGATTGCAGTGTGGTCATCCCCCAGGGGGTGATTTCTCACTTCCTCTCTCTCTCTGTCTCTATGTCTCCAGCAAGTACACGTGCCCTATAGTGAAAAAATTAAAGCAAAAACTCTCTGAGAAACACACACACACACATTTGGGATCTGCTCTTCCTCCACAGGAACGTATAGCCATTCCCATTTCACAGATGAGGAAAGTGAGGCTCAGAGAAGGGCGTGGTTTACCCAGTAAGCTCATTGTCCCCAGCCTCCAGATCACTTCCCATTCCTGAGCATCACCTACCCCAACCAGAATATGGGAATAATCGGATCCGCCTCTCCGGTGGCTGCGAGAATAAAGTGCCTTCATTCATCCTTTACTCAATGCAGAATTATTGAAGGTCTCCTCTGTGCGGGCCTGCTTCAGGCCCTGCAGACACAGCAGTGAACAAGATGGGCCAAGTTCTCGCTCCTAAGAAGCCAGATTCTTCCGGCTAATGCCTGTCAGGTGCTCCTCAGGGGCCAGAACTTAGTAGGTGCTCAGTAAAACTAAGGGACTGAGAATACAGGATTGAGCGGGCGCTGGAGTACAGAGTGGGCGTGGTCTGGAAGAGGCGCTCAGTACCTGCTGATTCTCCTCCCTGGAAGAAGGTGGTGCTTTGGACCTAGGCCCCACATCCCTGGGAACCCAGCAGGGAACCCTGCTTCAAGCAGCCTTCCCCAAGCCAGCAGGACTCTGCCCCAGGCATGTGGAGGCAGCTGGAGGGCCTTAGGTCTTCACTGGGGGCTCTCCTTGCCCTGCTGTCCTCTCAGCCCTGCCTCGCCCATCCCCACCCACTCCCTGACACTGTCACTGCCTGGGCCAGGCCTGGGCCTGCCCGGAGGCACTCCTTCTGTCCTGATATCCCCTCTGGCTTCTGCAGCCACTCCCCCCTTTCTGCCTCATGAGGCCTTCTCTGGGTACCAGTCCCCTCCACTTCCAGAGGTGTCCCCAGCCATCACTCCTGTGCTATTCTTTTTTCTTGACAACTGTGGTGTCAAATGTCAAGCCGGTTCTGCTCAGCACAGGCAGGGCCGGGGCTCCTGGTAGCTGTGCAGTTAAGAGAGTCCTCTCGAGTACCCCATGAGGGACTAAAAGTGACCGGATTGGCCATGGCCTGGCTCTGCTCTGGACTCTCCATTTCCCGTGCTGTCCTGAGCAAAGCTCTGCCTTTCTAGACCTGGAGCTCTCTGAGCCCACGGGCAGGCGGGGGAGCAGCCCTTTCCGCTTTCCCTGAGGTGGCAGGGTGGAGCCGAGGATTAGGAAGCCTGACAAGTGGCAGCGTCCATCCTGAAAGCTGCCTTCCTTCCAGGTGGGCTCTGGAAGGGCAGCGTTGGGGTATGGAGCAGTTACACCCACCAGACCGCAGAGAAGCCTGTCCCCTTGTCCTCGCTTGCCCCATGAGCCCGGGAGTTGGCAGTGAGTGCGGGAAGCAGCGCTGGCGGGCTCTGACAGCTTGGCAGTGGCAGCAGCCGGGCAGCAGCCGGGTACAGGGGCTATTCTGAGAACAGGGAGGGACAGGCGCTGTGACTGGAGCACAGAAGGTGGCAGGGAACAGCCAGTCTGCCAGGTTGAAGGGAGGGTGTCTGGGGGGGGGTGTCTGCCAGCTGCACTGTGTATTGGGACAGTTGTGTGGCGTGCCCTTGTCTCTGGGAGCAGGGAGGGCCAATGGAGGTATGGAGGTGCATGTGCATACATCTGGGAATCCTCGCACGGTCGGGCCGGGAGAGCACGCATCTGTGTGAGAGTGAGCCAGCCTGTGTGCAGCGGGACGCGTGTTTAAGCACGCGGGAAGGTGTGAGCGGAAGCAACCGTGCCTGAGTGTGAAAGGAGGAGGAATGGGAGGGTAAGCCAGTGGGGGCTTGTTGGTCAGTGGCATGAATGTGGGAGGGGTGGGTAGGGTGGCCGGGGCTGGAGAGCAGGTATAGGAGGGAGGGGGCCTGCTGGTCAAGGATGTAGGAGGCAGGTTGGCGGAAACAGGTCCCAGGCGTGGATGCATGGCAAGGGGACCCGTGAGTGAGCCGGTGTGTGTACGCAGAGGCGAGAGGGTCCTGGTGAGAGTGGGAGGAACTGTGCAAGCCAGGGAAGCAGGAAAGGAAGATACAAACAAATGACCCCAGTGGAATAAAGACAGCTGGCACCGACCAAGCCCTTGTTCTGAGCCTGGTGCTGACGTGCACGGTCCTCTTCAATTTTCTCAATATTGTGAGCAGTGTTGTCACGACGCCCATTTCTAGAGAAGGAGAGAGTGCTGTGAGCTGCTGACTAACTCGCCCGTGCTCTTAATCACTGGGTGGTACTGCCTCACAACGCCCGTGCGCACAGGGGCCAAGTTACAAGTGGAGAACGCCCGTGTGCAGTGTGCTGCGTCAGAGTGTGTGCGGCTGAGTGTGCCAGAAGTGGGAGTCCAGGCAGCAGCGGCGGGCAGGGCCCTGGCAGAGCCGGGGCCAGCCTCCACAGCATGTCCCAGCCCCCGGAGGTAACCTGTGTCAGGTCCTCAGCAAAGGCATCTCCTGGCACAAGTATGGCCCCAGCAGGCTGCCAGCTCACAGTTCTGAGCAGAGCCGGGGCTGAAGATTGGGAGGCTGGCCTGGTCTTCAGGGTACCAGAGGGGAAGCCCCTGTGTGGGTTGAGCATCTGAGAGCTGTGGGAGGGGTCCAGCAGTGATTTCAGATTCTTGTGACTTTAAACAGAACCACCTGGAGGTTGTGTGTGTGTGTGTGTGTGTGTGTGTGTGTGTGTGTTGGGGGGTCAGCCAACGAGTCCCATGCCCAACCTTGCCTTTGGGATGTGACTCAAGCAGATACCATGCTGGGCATTTGCAAGCTGGGCCTGAGGGCCAAGGAGGAGCCCCACCAGTCCCTCCCCAGTCTCACCCTTGGCACTCCCCCTTGGGTCCTAAGCTGAAAGGACGGCATTGTTGCAAGAAGAGAGCTGTCTCTCACAGTCTGAGCTCAGCACTCACATCGCCCAGAGAACTGTGCATCGCTAGACTCTCCAGGAGCAAGTACTGGCTGCTGAGGGAGTCAGGGGCTTGGGGTTCCACTTCTGGCCATGCCGTCTGGGCAAGTCACCTCCCCATTCGGGGCCTCAGTTCCTGGTTGGCAAAATAGGGACACTGTGTCAAAGGGACACGAGTGTTGCCGGCAGAGCCACAAGTGGTCCGGGCAAGCAGGGGAAAAGGACAGTGTTTGGAGTTGGGGTTGGGTCAGGTGTCAGGGTGATGATGTAGTTGAGCTGAGCTTAGAAGACAGGGAGAATCTCAGGCGAGGGTTTGGGAGAGGGGCAAAGGTGTTCTAGGCAGAGGGGGTACCCTGGGCCAAGGCTGAAGGGGAAGCAGTGGTCGGAAACTGAGCCTAGCACCTTTAGTAGACCACCCAAACCTCTTAGCTGGCCTAACAACCTGCTTAACAGAGGACACCTCCACCGTCTATATCATAGGGACCTCATTTGTCTCAGCACCATCCATAGCCAGAGTGCCTTGAACAGTGCCTGCCGCATCGAAGGTGTCCAAACTGAACTTTGGTGCAAGAGCTCATTCCAACAGTCCCTACAAGAACTTCCCACAGACTTGAACAATGGCTTGCAAAGGCATCTCTGGTGCATTACTCGGGAACTTGTTAAGAACAGTTTCGGGCCCCAATCCAGACCTGCCAAATCAGAAACGCTGGGGCCGGGGCCCCTCGATTTGTTTCAAAAAGCTTCCCAGGATAGTTGTGTTTCATTCTAAACTTTGAGAGACCATGCTCTAAAAACTGTGCACCAGTATCCTCAGTACCCATTTGCTGATAGAGAAGCTAGAATTGTGGCAACGCTTGGTCTAGAACCCAAGTATTCTTGGCCCACTCATTTTCCTCTGCCTAGTCCAGGGCACAAAGAAGAGGACAGAGTCAAACATCTGCCCTGTCAGTTTCCTGGAACGAAGACTTGGAAATGTCTAGGGTCTAGAGGACTGGGCATTCCTCCCCAGGGTAGAAGGCGGGGCCAGTACTCTGAGCCCCGCCCCATCCCCGTTGCCCCGGGAAACCCCGGTTTGTAACAATAACCCGCTGACGCGCTTCTGGGAGGGATCCTGTAGAGTCTGTGGGCGGGGCAGTCCCGCCGCGGACCAATGGCAGCACTCGGGCCCCGCCCCTTGAGCTCCCCCTTCGTGAACGCCCAGCAGGGGGCGGGGTCGCATCCGCCGCTCCTTCCCTGCTCCCTAGGCGGCGCGCTTGCCCCC